GAACCAATCACAACAAACTTAAAACAGCACTCACCTGTGACCTGGCAGGTTGGTGTCTAGGTGGGTGTGGCTGAGTTCCCTGCCAGGATCACACAAGACTGGAATCAAGGGCTGGGCTTTTATGTGGAGGCTAAGGGAGAGCCCAGTTCCGGTGTCATTTGGACCTTGATAGAACTCAGTGCCTTGCTGGTATAAGACTGGAGTTCTCATGACCTTCAGTAGTTATCAGCTGGGGCATTTTCCCTAGAAAACTGTTTCTATCCCTTGGCTCATAGCCTTTTTAAAAGCATGGAAAGAGAGGGCCAAATCTTTCTTGCGGTTTGAATTCTTCTGACTTCCCCTCCTGCCTCCACTTCTAAGGGCTCAGATAACAGCCCCTTTGCCATATAACATAGCACAATCATGGGGAATAACTGCAAAGGGTTAGAGATGATGGTGCCCAAAATTCTACCAGCCACATGCAGGAAATGCAATTGACATCGACGTGAGCTTAAGCCAAACCATGAAAGGTATTATAGGGCCAATAGGGAAATGTTGTACCCTAGGCAGCTAAGAAAACCTGTAAAATTGTAGCTTATGTCATGATCTGATTTATACTTCCAAAAGAAAATAGAAAACATGGTTCTATGATTTTTTCTGTCGGCTTAGTGGCTGCACATGAATCTACTGGTATTTTAATTATCTGCCACCCCAGAGCCCCTCAGCCAGGGTCTCACTGGCCACTCAGGCTGCAACCTGATGGGGCTTCCAGTCCCACAGTCCTGACTCTGCCACAACCCTGCTGCATAGGTTTAAATTAAGTCTCTATCATTCTATTTATCAATAAGACTCAGAAGTCAAAGGCTGGGGTGAAAACCTGCAAGCTCAGAGAGACTGAGAAGCAAGAGCTGACCTTGCTTTTTGGCTACAGACACTGCAAGATAAGCATCTCTTCCCACATCCCTTAACCAAGAGAATGCAAACTCTAGACCCCTGCCTCTCCTTCCTGTGCATCTTCTTTATGCAAATTGCTGGCTTCACTATGGCCAATTAGGTCAGCTAGTCACTGGCTCCGCCCCCCAACTCAAGGTATAACTTTATCTTGGGAGTGTCAGAGTATGATCAAAATATCCCACAACAGTTCTGTGTGGGGAATAATGAATCGGGGGCGGGGGGTCAGAAGCAGAGGCAGAGAGAGTCTGGCTATCCAGATGTGAGATGGAAGTGCCTTGGAGGATGACAGCAGCAGTGGGGATGGAAAGAGAGCATGGATTTGGGCTTTCTTTGTGTTAAGCCAAGGGTATAGGAACTGTGAGGGGAAGAAGCAATCAGCTTAGGGAATGGTGGTGCTATTAACTGAGTTGGGGAAGAATGATCAGTGTTCTATGGTCAGCAGAGGGCCTGTAAATCTTAAGTTCTGTTTGATCACTTGGTACCAATGTGAAAACACAGCTCTCACCTCAAAGGGGTCAGGAGACAGTCTATTCTGAAGCCAAATATGGGTGTCCATGGCCCAGAAACAGATTCAGGTTACCCCAAGTTCCATGCTCTAGGATGGTAGCAGCTGCATGAAGTTTTTATAGTAACAGAACAAAGAAAGTCATATATCAAGGTACTTTTTCAAAATACATTAAGTAGGTGCTTATAGCAAAGCAGAGAAACCTCAGCCAGGGGCTCAGATTCTCTGAGGACTCTGAGACAGTGGGTGGGTAGAAACTGGGCTTTGCTAACATATTTCAAGAGGTTTTTAATCTGACACAGAGGTGGGCAAGTGATGACTATTTAGAGGCCTAAAATGTGCCCAAGGCAAACTACAACCTCTCCAAGACCCAGTCAGCCAATCGGCCTTTGCCGACACAGATTCTTCCCAGGGATTCTCCTTCACAGGAGGCATTCAGACCTCTACTTTCTCTTGGCACTACGTCCACCCCTCCTCCACAGCGCAGCGACCTCACAGATTGTTTTCAAATGTAACCCTTCTTATATCTCTTTCCCCAGTCTCAACCACAGACAGCTTTGATGCACAGAACAAAATTGCTTTGTTTTGTTTGATGCAATCTACCAGATCCTATACCACATGGCTTCTGGCCACCTCTCTAATTTTATTTCCTTCTGTTTTCCTCCTTATCCTTTTTGTGTGTCAGGTGCACCAGCCTACTCCTAATGCCTGCTTTACAAACCTGTTCCCATGTCTGAGCTTTTGCACTTACAGTTTTCTGCAAAATCTTTACTTTGGGTATCTGAAGGCCTACTTTTACTTCTTAAAGGTTTCTGCACAAATATCTCTCCTGAGAAAAGTCATTTAGACTATCCTGTGTAAAATTAGCAACTCTGGGGCTAGGGAGACAGCTTGGTCAATCACAAGCGTGATAACCTGACTGATCCCCAGAAGTCACTAAAAAAACTGGACACTGTGGTACATCCTTATAATCTCGACACTGAGAAGGCAGACATGAGGAAGCCACAGTCCAGCAAGTCTACCTTACTTGGCAAGTTTCATAGCAGTCAGAGGCCTTGGTCTAAATAAAGGGGGATGGGGGGGCAGGTATGGTAGCACATATTTTTAATCTCCACACTTTGCAGAAGCAGGCAGATCTCTATAAGTTTTAGGCCAGCCTGGTCCACAAAGCAGTTCCAGGACTCACTAGGTCAGGGCTGTTATGCAGAGAAACCCTGTCTCAAAAAAAACAAACAAAACAAACAAATGAAAAAAAAAAAAAGGAGTGAGGTACAAGGTTTCTCAGTGGGTATTAGATGCTTGTCACCTAAGTTAATGACCTGAGTTAGAGCCTTGGAACCTAGACACTGGAAGGACAGAAACCACTTCAGCTAGTTGTCCTCTGACTTCCACACACCCTGTGGCATGTGTACACATACCTCTGTGAATTAACTAATTAATTAATTAAAGGTAAAAAAAATGAAGTAGACGACACACAAGGAATGGTGCTTGAGGCTGTCCTCTCGTCTCCATACGCAAGTGCACACAGTTCCCCAGTGCTGGGTTTGCACAGTAGTCACTTTAACTCTCTTTTTGTTTTGTTTTGTTTTGTTTTGTTTTGTTTTGTTTTTTGAGACAGGGTTTCTCTGTGTAGCTATGGTTGTTCTGGGATTCACTCTGCAGACCTCAAACTCACAGAGATCTGCCTGGCTCTGCCTCCCGTGCTGGGATTGAAAATGTGCACCATCACCACCCAGCTGTCACTTCAACTCTTCATTCCATTTCAATTTTCTTTATAGCATCTGTCTGTGTCTCATATTGTTATATTTATTGGCTTCCTCTCTGTTTTTTCCCACAAGCTTCCATAACAGAACTTTGGAATCTTTGTCAATCTGACATAATATTTGCACATCAGTGTTTTAATTTGCATTTTAGTGAGTTTATTAGTTGCTTTTCTGTTACTGTGATAAGATGCCTTGACTAAAAGCAACTTAAGGAAGAGAGAGTTTATCCAAAGGGATAAGAATCCATGATGGCAGAAGAGAAGCAGCATGATAACAAATGTCAGGAATGGCATCTGGAGCAGGCTGCTGAGAGCTCACATCCTTTACTATAAGCACAGAGCAGAGAAAGCAAACTGGAAGTAAGTGAGGCTTTTTACCCTCAAAGCCTGCCTCCAAAAACATACTTCCTCTAGCTAGGCTACACCTCCTAAACTTCCCCCAAACAGCACTCTTCACCGGGGACCAAGTCTTCAAATAGGTGAGCCTATGGGGGCCATCTCATTCAAGCCACCACACTCCGTAAAGTGAAGTCCACTGGAAAGATTCCTATAGATGGTTAGTACAAACAAGCGCTTTTCTCATTTTAGTATTACAAACTACGTACTTTAGACCCAATCTCCCCTTCAATAAAGTGATTACTTTTACAGTAAGTCTTTTATTTTTATGTCTATTCCCTTACATGAAGAGTTAGAAAAATTTAAGGATATATAATAAAGTGTCAAATTATAAGTAAATGTATGAATATTGGGCAAAAGAATGCTAATACGGGGTCAAAGAAACAACTAGGACTGAGGTTCAATTCCCAGCATACACATGGTGGTGCACAACCACCTGTAATTCCAGTTCCACAGGATCACACACCCTCTTCTGGCCTCTGAGACCGTCAGGTATACAAACGATGCGCAGACATACATACAGGCAAAACACCCATGCACATAAAATAAAGTTTTAAAAAAGAATACTATTATGAAAACCATTGTAGTAAATACTCTACTTGATATTTGGGTTTTTTTTTTTTTCCATGAACGTCTCAGTATTGTTAGAATATTATTCCATAGCTTAGGTTGTGGATACAAAGATGGACACAAATACCCTCTTTTTCTGGTATTCATGCCTTGGGTAAAGTCCCTCTACTTGAATGTAGGTGAAATGTGTGGCTTGATTTAACCAGTAGCATAGGACAAAGATGATGAGATACCACACATGACCGGAGAGCATGAAGCTGTAATTTTGACCCTGCCACTGTAACTTTGACCCTGCCGGTGGCTTTTATGGTCTGATGAAGCAAGTTACCACATGGAAAGACCTACATGACAAGGAATTAAAGATGGTGCCCACTCAACGAGGTCTGCAGCCCACCAGTCTGCAAGAACGTGAATACTACTGATAGCCATGTGAGCTTGGCAGAAGAGCCCATTCCATCGGAACATACTATCTGATTGAAGCGCTGAGACCCCAGGAAGCAGAGGCCTGCGTGAAGCTACAGCCAGATCACACACAACTCAGAGAGACTAGAAGAGATAAGCGGATTTGTTTTACACTTTGAGCCAATGAGTGATGCTTTAAGGCAACTGGTTTGTGCTAATATTGTTATACAGTGATAGATTTCTGTCAGCAGAGAACTCCTGGAAGGAGGCTGTGTCTGTAGAGGCTGATTGACTGGGTGGGACTGATACTGTGGGGAGATTGGAATGTTGCAGGTCCAGAGGTTAGTTACCTTATCTTGGGCTAGTTCTAACCCCCCAGAACAGCCTCATTCTTTGTTCACCTCTGTATCAGAACTAATGTCATGAGACTAATAGATCGAAAACTTTTAGAATTTATTAATTTAGCAGGCTACTAGCTTCTACTAACCCAAAAGCATGTTGGGCTTACGGGAAATCTTCCTATATCTCACTGTACCTGCCTATCTGATGTACCCTCCACTGTGTTTTAAATATGCCTTGATTCATGACTTTCTTTGTTCTGTAAATCTATAAAACTCCATGAAACTACTTTCACATTGGAACATGAGATTTAGGGCAACTCAAATCTAGGTACCTAAGCCACGGTCACTGAACATGGCTCCAGAATAAACCATCTCTTATTCCCTTTAAGATGAGAGCTTTAAATGGTTTTTGTGTTGACATTACTAACACAATGAAGTCTGTTAAGGTTGATAATTTTTTTTTGTTGTGTTTTGTTTTTTTGAGACAGGGTTTCTCTGTGGCTTTGGAGCCTATCCTGGAACTAGCTCTTGTAGACCAGGCTGGTCTCGAACTCTCAGAGATCCACCTGCTTCTGCCTCCCGAGTGCTGGGATTAATGGCGTGCGCCACCAACGCCCGGCTAAGGTTGATAATTTAATCAACTATTTTTAGAGGGCCTCACTTCATCTTTCATGAAAGAATTAAGGCTTCTATAACTGAGAAAACCCATGAGGAAAAGGAGCAAGAGGAGAGCCCTCAATCCATTGCTTTGCTGATGGGATGTCCATTGCCCAAATTACATGGTCTATCAAAAGGAGGCTACTTCAGTGAAGATACATCTACTCCTGCCGGAAGTAGAAGCTGGGACCTTCACCCCACAGGGATGGCTCTGCTTAGTGCCAGTCCCCAGGAACTATCAATCATGTCCATCAGATTCCTGTTGCTTCCAAGCCACAATAAGGAGTGTAGATCCCACAGCCAGTGGACTTCCTATAGTCCTTCATACTCAAATCATCTAGACTCCAAGCTCTTCTCTCTTGCCCTCGGATGTTCTTGTTTTGTAGGTCAATCTTTCAAGTTCCCAACACCCTAGATTTAAAAACCAAACTTTCTTTTAAGAAGGTGAAGGTAGTAAGTATACCAGCTAGAGTTCACATGTAAGCCCCACCTACCCAAGGAGAGATAACTTTCAGGAATGCTGGGAGCTGTTGTTCATGTAAGATAATAAGTCACTTGATTTCACTTCAAGAAACAAGGTTTGGTGCCCCAACTGCACAGGATGGATGTGCTTGATCATGTGTAGGTGGAGATATGTAGGCAGGAATTGTGTCAGGATGTATGCTCGTCCCTGATTGGCTAAAGGTGGAAAGCACATGGTCTTGTGGGTTTGGCCTAATTCAATGCCATTCTCTGAAAATCCCTGGTGTGGACCTAGCCGTATCCATCTTCCTGGCCAGTATTAAATAAAGCTTGCTTTAATTGGACAATCCTGGATTTGGTCTCTCTCCTTGAAATTTACAGGTTTAGCTGGGCAGTGGTGGCGCACGCCTTTAATCCCAGCACTCGGGAGGCAGAGGCAGGCAGATCTCTGTGAGTTTGAGACCAGCCTGGACTACAAGAGCTAGTTCCAGGACAGCCTCCAAAGCCACAGAGAAACTCTGTCTCGAAAAACCAAATAAAAAAAAAAGAAAGAAAGAAAAGAAATTTATGGGTTTAATAGTAGCCCCAACCCACTGAGTAGAGTGCTGTCTTAGTTACCTTATCCCAAGAAAGGGAGGGAAAAGCAACTTCCATTCTTTTGTGATGACTCCATGGCAAGCAGAAGTCATTTAATCTGTTGCTAAGGTTACGAGCTACATAACCAACCAAAGCAAGATGAAAACAAGGGCAGTCCCAAACTTCTGGCTATTGTGAAAGATGCCATTTAGTTGCTGTCTCCTCCAGAAAAACAAGACTTCTAGCTCAAAATCCTGCAGGGAATTCTGATTTGCTCATTCTAAATCTAATTTGATTCTAATTTTAAGTCTAGATGGTGGTGAGATCCACATGCTAGTGAGCCTGGACCTGTACCAGTTACTATCCAAGTATAAGGGGAAGAGAGTACTAGTCATGAAGACAAGATACAGAGATATGTTAATATGCAACCAAAAATAGACATTAACATTTTTCTCCTCAGTGTTGGTTACTGAACTCAGGGTTTTGAGCATGGTGGGAAAGTGTTCTGTCACAGGGCTACACCTCTCAATCCAATGTAGAAATTCGCATTTCATTATAGAAATAATTAGTATGGTTTTCCATTGCGATCCTTGTCTTTATGGCTTCTGAGCCTGTTTCCTTCCCCCTCCCCCCCCCCTTTAAATGCATTGGACCTTATCCAAATTCCTAAACCAAATACAAGCTTTTTTCACAGAGATATGAATTTAATTTTACAGTGGTTCCACCCTCCCCCTTTGCCCCCTTATCCATTTTCTGCAATAATCCTGTATTATTCCTCCCACTCAAAAGCAGAGAAAGACAGTCCAACGACTTCCTCCCCCAACATACTTACAGGAAAGAATAGAAACAATTCAACCTCAGCCGGGCCAGCACAAAAGCCTGGAAGCTTTTCTTGGATTCGGGAGTCCTGTGCAAGCAGTGTAGGTGCTTTCCAGCAATTTGGTTTTATTATTTTTGATTCTGCTCTTGCCGCAGAAACCCTCAGTTGTCTGACATTGGTGGTATTCAGTATTTGTTGCCAACTTAATTCCAGTTCAGCTGTTTGGAGGGATTGAGTGACCACGGGAGAGGCTTTTATAAAGCTCCTTGTTTGGTGCATTGGCAGTGTGCTCAGGAAATGTGAGTCAGCCCCCTCTCAGGAAAATAGCTTGATTTATGTCCTCTAAACTGAAGGCAAGCCCACAGATAGGACACTTGGCCTTGCGTTGGTACAAAACCCCCAGACCACACTGCAGGAAGCAGTGTTTGCATAGGAAGTACATGGGGAGAATACTTAGGTAATGTTTGTGAAGTTTCAAACCCCGGGACAACTGGATGAAGTGCCTGTTTAACATATAAAAGCGGACCTGGCTGCCGGGTTCTCCCAGCATCCCCCAGTCCCTACCTGTTACAGGGCCTTCCTGGCTAGGATACCCTGCCCCTACCCTAAACGTCTCCAACCCAGGGGCTGTGCAGTCTAACCATTTTTGGTTTGATTTGTTTTTTTAACTCTCTTTTTGTGCCTCCTGGTCCCCTTTTTGGCACCTGGTTCCCTTGGTCTGCTCCCCCCCACACACACACATACACTCAGGGTCATGTCCACTCTGGACTCTCTCCCAGATGTCCCTCTCTCCCTTTAATCTATAATAAACTTTCTCTTCCACCATACCTAGGAGCAGTCATTGTTATGATAAAGCGTGAGGGACCCTTCGTGGGGCAATCCATGTCGGGTGAGGTTGACCCAGGTGGGGCAAAAACATGTCAGGCAGTCAGAGCTTAAGTGAGAAGTTTTATTAGAAAGGAGAGGGAGGGGAAAGGAAAGAGAAAAAGAGGGAAAGAGACACACAAGAGAGGACAGAAGAGAAGAGGGGGACAAGAAAAGTCCTGTCTGCCCAGGGCGACAGCGGGAAAGAGAGAGGGAAAAGAGAGAACGGGGGAAAATAGTGTAAGTGGGCGAAGGTCTTTCTTTTAAAGGGGTCCTTTGAATGTGGGCTGACTAGGTGACAGGGGCCTGCTACCATAATGCCTGAATCATTACAGTCATGTCCTTTCCTTTTTATTTCTTCTTGTTATTCAACTTTAGGCTGTAAGCAGATACATTTTTAATATTACTTATGCATCCATTTAAATGAATCCATGTATTCAGACAATGTAATATGTCAACCAATAGTTTCATGGATGTTATTGCTTAAGATTGGATTAAATAAAAGGTTTAAAAGTCCAAGGGAAACAGGAGGGAAATGGTAATGTGATTGGCAGGTGAACAAAGTGGTAGCCTAATAATGGTATATAGACTGCTGATGTTTCAGAAACATTGTCCAATTAAAACACCCTAGGATTTGTCTGCAGCAGAACTTTTTCTAGTTCAGTCTTGCTACTGAGCAGTTCTGTGCTTTAAGTCACTTCACAGATTTCTGAAATGGCACTTTCATTTGTAGTATAAGGATAATTCCCATGGTAAATCTCTTCACAGAAACTAAAATTCAAGATGTCAGTCCAGGATACAGTGAGCATACCATATATTCATTAAATGGAACACCCTATCTGATTTTTTTCTTACCTGATTCTTACTTATTGTCATTGATCTTCTGTAAAAATCCCTAAGCCAGAAAGCAAGCAATCAGTTCTCCTAGCCAACACTAGTGTCAGCAAATAACTGGTACCTCTGAAAGACAGAAAGTCTCCAGGATTGGACTCTGTCATAGGGTGCAGAGACTGAACTGTCTCCTTGGACTGACTGTAACAGGGACTTGACTTAAAAAGCAAAAATAAAAACACGTATGTGATTAGATAATTAGATGATTTTGTGTCATCATCTCCCCCCCAATAAACCCTCTCTCCTCTCTCATGATATGTTTGATTGTTGTGAGATTGTTTTCAGAATCAAGAGGCTGTGATTCAGGTTCAGTACAGTTCAGGATTTGATTTGCATCTGTTGGTTCTCAGGAATAAATGTGAACAAGGCAAAGTTTCTGAACTTCATTCATTCACAATATTTAATACTTAAATAGAAACTATGTAGAATCTTGGGAAATGTGCGTGCAGATGTATAATTATTCCCTGGAACTGGAATTATAGGAAATTGTTAGCTGCCATGTTGGTGTTGGGAACTTAACCTGGACCCTCTGGAAGAGCAGTGTCTTTTTTTATCCTATTTATTTTTTGTTTTGTTTTGTTTTTACATCTTGAACAAAGTTTCTTCTCCCTCCTCTCCACCCGTCCTCCTTATCCATCCTTCCTCCTCTGTTTCTCTCCAAAAACAGGGCAGGCCTCTCATGGATATCAACCAGTTATGGTATATCAAGTGCAGTGAGACTAGGCTCCTCCTCTTTTATTAAAATTGGACATAGCAATCTGGTAGGAGGAATGGGTACAAAAATTAGGCAACATAGTCAAAGACAGCCCCATTCCCACTGTTAGGAGTCTCAATAGAAGACCAACTTACACAACTATAACATATATGTAGAGGGCCTAGGTCAGTCCTATGAAGGCTTTTTGGTTGTCCGTTTAGTCTCTGTGTGTCAGAAGCCAGCCTTGGCGACCCCCCATGCCTAGCTAGCCTAGCATCCGACCCCTCAGGTTCCGGGACCTGGCCTGAGAAGCAACTAACACCTTCCCCTATTTCCTTAGTTAGTGCTTGAGATAAACAGGAGATTCCGGGTACCTGGCCTGAGAAGCAACTAACACCTATCCCTTCCCCCACTTCCTTAACACAGGAGATTCCGGATACCTGCCTGAGAACAATTAACTCATCCCTCCCCCCACCTCCTTTTTCTCTGCTTCTTCCTTTCTCTATAAAAACCCCTTGGATTAATCAATAAACGAGCCTTGACAATGGAATCTGCTTGGTCCTGCTCCTTCTTTCTCGCCCATTATTTGCAGGCATGATCCACCTCGGACTCACGAATTACCGGAGCCACGGGCCGGGGCGTCTGTGAGCTGTTGCAGAATATTTGATCACAGTGTGTGCTGGAACCTGGTATGCTGATCCGGCCCCCTGACATGCATTCAGCATTCAGGCAGATACTTAGGCAGCTCAAAGGGAGCTGTGTTGTATGGCCACGACATGGTTACTTCACTCGTTTCAGGGCTGCATAAGGACTCAGTACACATGTGCAAGTTTCCCCTTTTAAGTGAGCACCTCCATGTGTTCGGCCTTCCCCTTCTTCCTCTTTGCTCTCCCCCCCTCCGTTTCTCTCTCCCTCCCTCCCTCCTGTAATAAACTCTATGGTTAATGTATCTCCTGTTTACGTTCCATAGCGTCAATTCCATCTCTAGCGCACTCTAACTTAAACAAAAGAACAACGAGTGAACCCCAAGATTTCGTTATTTACTGGAAATACCTGCTTCTAGTTGTGGTGTGACTCAGCCCTAGCACACCCCTTTTATTCAAGAGCTTTCTGCTTGAATGTTATAAATAGGATTAAGCAAAATCAACCATAGGTCAAGAGGCAGAGCAAACAACCAGTTGATAGGAGATAACCATAGAGAATAAGAGGAAGTCAGGAAGACAGAGAGACATACAAACAGGAAGTAGAAAGGAGGGACATCTGGTCAGAAGAGATTCTGTTTGAGACGGTGTAGGAGAAAGCTCTTTCTGGTACAATGGTGGAGGAGGAAGCAGCTGGGTGATTTCTCTGCCTCTCTGAATGAGCAGGTTTTCACCCCAGCATCTGGCTCCTTTGTCTTTATTGATGAAATAGAACAATAGATACTTATTTAAAAACAACAGTGAGCTGACCATGGCAACTCTTATTGAAAGACCCCCGAAGAGGTACTTTCGTAGAGGGAGACCCACACCCAGGAATCAGCGAGGCCACGAACTGGATGCAAAAACAAGAGGCTTTATTGGAGACGCGGGTACCCGGGGCGACTTAGCTTCTGTGTGGCTAAGCGCCCCGAGCCAAGGGAGAGGGGTCCTTATATAGGGAAAAAGGCGCAAGCTAGAAGCAGGGATTCTATTGGATAATTCTAATGAGGCATCGTACAGAGCTATTCCCATTGGTCAATGTAAATGAGGCGCTATACAGGGTTATTCAAATGAGGCGAAGTATAGAGTTATTCAAATGAGGTGAAACACAGAGTCTTTCAAATGAGGCGAAATAGGAATGGTTCAAATCAGAAAAAGAGCCCTTCCAGACCAGCATATTCTCAAGGTCTGGTGTTTGGTACAACAGACTCAATTTCCCCCCCTCCGAGTCCAGATGGCTGACCTTGGGGGCGGAGACCTTGGGACGGAGTGTTTCTCATCAGGTGGGGGTGTGGGGCGGGGCCCCAGGCCGGCTCACTTGGTGTTCGCTCTCGTGCCGGCCCACCCGGTGCTCGTTGCTCGGCCCCAGCCCCGAGGCACGGTGCCAGGCGGGGCGGGCCGGGGGCTCGAGCCCTGCCGGGGTGAAGGCTTGGGAGGCTCCGGCAGCTTCAGGGCAGGGGGCTCAGGGGCATTCCGAGCGGGTCTTTCATTATAAAGGAAAACATTTAATTGTGGCTTACAGTTTCAGAGGGTTAGTCCATATCATCATGGTGAGAAGCATGGCAGCGTGCAAGCAGACATGGTGCTGGAGAAGGAGCTGAGAGTTCTAAATCTTGATGCTAAGGCAGAAGAAGGAGAAATTGTGTAACACACTGGGAGTAGCTTGAGCATATAACACCTCAAAGCCAACCTCCACAGTGGCACACTTCCTCCAACAAGGCCACACCTACTCCAAGAAGGCCACAAATCTCCTAATAGCGCCACACCCTATAGACCAAACATTCAAATACATGAGTCTGTGCAGGCCATATCGATTCAAACCACCACTAGCAGCTAGTCCTCTTAACTACAGAACCATTTCTGAAGCCCATAGCAACATTTTTTTACTCACTTTAAGTCTAGTTAATGGACGAACAGGATCAATCTGTTGTTATAGATTTGTTTCAATTTCCATGGTATAAATAGTCCCACATCTTTCTTTTTATTTTTCCCCTCCTCCCTTCACTCTCCCTTTCTTCCCCCAGTCCTGAGGAATGAACCTACCGAGCTCTATGCCCAGTTCTTTTTAAAAGTTTTGTTTTGAGACAAAGCTAAGATAGCCAGGCTAGCTTTAATCGTAATTCTTCTGCTTCATTATCCCAAATCGCTGGGGTCTCAAGTAATAAATACCAGGCATTACTGCCACTTTTCAGCTTCTTATTTATACAGCTTATTTATACAGCTTCTCTAAAGGAGAAGTAAGGGGAGCTGTATGGTATTCCATTAGAGTGTTTTCAGCATAAAGACACAATGGATGAAATAGCCTTAAAGTAGAAGGTAAAAGCTTAGAAGCAATGGGTTTGGATATTTACCTTTGTTTTTAATATGCTTATTTTCTCGGTTATAATGAGTATTTGTAAGTTCATTTAATTTTTAATTGTCCTTTAACAACTAACTAAAAAAATTCCTGAAAATAAAATAATCTATTTTTGTAAGTCAGTATGAGATGGCTGTAGCACTGTTGGAAACATCTTGACATACTGACATTTGTATTCTCTCTTTTCTGTTCTTCCTTGTATTTGGTCTCTGTTAGGATTTATGCAGCAGAGTACCTTGGCTGGTCAGGGCCAAAGTATGCCACAAAGATCACACCATGCAATAGCTCTCACACAAGAGATTTATTAGGCTGGGGAAGCAATGGTGAAGGAGAAAGAAGAGACAGATGGAGAGAGCATGTATGATGTCAGGAGAACTTTAAAGGGTACACATATTGCATTTGGTGGCTACTGGTGGTGGTGCTGAGTTGCTGAAGCAGGCTGGGGCTAACACTTTCCCCAATAACTCAGAGGTACCCATGCTGTCTTGAGACAATAACAACTACACAAAAGAGTCCTCATTGGGCTAGAGAGATGGCTTAGTGGTTAAGAGCACTGGCTGCTCTTCCTGAGGTCCTGAGTTCAATCTCCAGCAACCACATGCTGGCCCACAACCATCCGTAATGAGATCCTGTGTCCTCTTCTGGCTTTTGGGCACACATGCAGGCAAAACGTTATACAAAACAAATAAATAATAAATAAATTTTAAAAAGAGTCCTCATTATAAACAGTGAATTAAATGAATGTAATCACACCATTCATTTGTCCTCAAATTGTAGAGTGACCCCCAAGAAGACCCAAGAAAAAACAAGAGACTGGGAGCTGAGTTTGCATAGTATAGTTTGGAATAT